TTCTTTCTTTCTTTCTTTTTTTCTTTCTCTCTTTTTCTTTCCTTCCCTCGATGTATGTGTCTCTCTTCTCTCTCTCTCTCTCTCTCTCTCTCTTCTGCTCTTTCTCTCCTGTCCCCTCACTCTCTCTATGTCACATACACTCTCTTTATACCATTCTCGCTGTCGCACCTTTTCTGTCGATCTCGCTCGCTTCCTCTATCTCCCACACACACTCTCCCCCAATATTTCCTGCTGTAGCTCCTTCAATTTATCTCTATCTTTCTTTCTTTCTTTCTCTTTTTTTCTTTCCTTCCTTCTATGTATGTGTCTCAATCGCTCCCGCGCCCGCTCTCTCTTTCTTTCTTTCTCTCTCTCGCGCGTGCTCTTTTACTCCCTGTCTTTCTTACGCATTTTCTCTCAGTAGGCGCGCAAATCGCTTAAGCAGCCACACACACCCTCTCTATCGGCAGCCGCCGCGCACAGCCGGGAGGTGGCGCTGCATAACGCCGTTCTGCCATACGTCTGCCCGCTGTCGGCGGTGGTGGCGCTGGCGGCGGTGACATCAGGTCCGGGTTTGTCTAGCAGATTAAGCGGATCCCTGATCTCGTTGCTGTATCCGGCTAGGGAGCCGTGGTGATCCGCGGGGTGGCGCTGAAAGCAGTGCGTGCTGCTGATAACCGGCACGTGCTCGGCGCGTCTGCTGCGTACAGTGGGCAGCACATGTCCTCCGGCAAAAGCACCTGTAAGACAGTATACAGGGCGCATGTAAGCGGATAGCCAGGGATTGATCTATATATATATATAGTGATGTACGAAGGAGAGTGAAATAGTAGACATATGAGCCGGGAGGAATTTGAGGAAATTGAATGAGTGATAAATTAAGCGAAGCTGGCAAAAAATAGAAGAGAGCGAAAACGATGGAGAGCAAAAGCGAGGAAAGGAGAGATAGTGGGATGGCGCGCGTGTGCGCGCGTAAGAGAGAGAGAGAGGTGGGGAGTGAGAGAGGGAGAGAGAAGATGACGAGAAAAAAGACAAAGACAGAGAGAGAGAGAGAAGACTAGAGAGAGGAGGCTGAGTGTGGATGGCAGGAAGAGAGAGTAAATGAACGCTTTTGTCGAAAAGTACGCTTGCATAAGATCTAGGATCGACAGTGCAGCCCATACGGTTCGTATTATCATACCTCAACTAAATATACTCGTATACAACACACCACAATCCTATACTCGTATACAACATACCTCAATCATATACTCGTATACAACATACCCCAATCCTATAAACGTATACAACATACCCCAATCCTATACTCGTATACAACATACCTCAATCCTATACTCGTATACAACATACCTCAATCCTATACTCGTATACAACATACCCCAATCCTATACTCGTATACAACATACCCCAATCCATATATAGTATTATATATATATATATATATATATATATATATATATATATAGTGTATGTAATATATATGTTATCAGAATACATACATTGGAGTCAAATGGGAGTACACAATGGGGGTACATAATCTCCCATTATGTACTCTTTATGTTATATATTGATATTATAATATATATATATATATATAATATATATATTTAGCAACATACTTGATTGAGGTCTTCGTACATAGTGCGACATACAGAGAATGTCTATAGGTCTATATGAAAATGATATATGACATGGTGATGTCATAATATATATGTCTCATAATGTACTATATATATATATATATATATAATATATATATATATTATATATTATATACATTCCTTTCCTTCCGAACTAGCAAAACAGTATCCCGTGCGTGTTATTCTTCTGATCTTCCTCTAATCCTAATGCGGCTTTCTTTCCTCTCCTTAAGCAAGCAACGGTGAAGCGGGAATGCTATTTTTTCGAGACGGACGGATTTCATGATCGGCGTCGATTACTCAGATTGTGCCACCGAGACAACCAAGGCTGTGTACCGTGGCGTCTGCCACCAACGACCACCTCACGCCATGTCAACAGACAGCGGGCGCTGCACCAGGTATCTTCTTATTTTATTTTTTTTTTTTTTTTTCCCCAATTTTTTTGGGGGGGTTCGAGGCCTCGCACTTTATCCAAACACACCGGGCACATACACACACATTCAGTATATTATAATATGTTATATATATATATATATATATATATATATAATTATATATATTATATATTATAGTAATATAATAGCATTAGAGTATTCTGATTTTGATAGTATATTATTAATATTCAACGTTTTAATAGTATGCTATATTATATATAATACCAATCATTAACTATGCTAGATAGCGGGCACGCACCTTATTTATTCTTATTATTCATTATTAATATTCTAGTTATTGATACCTCAATATAGAAATCCTATCCCTATCCATTATAATCCTCATTATTATAAATGTTTTTCGTATTCTTCCCGCAGCATTCTCACACCCCGGTATCACGGTCATGCCTCCTATCAGGGAGACAGTGCATCAACAGAGGTTCATTCACAGTATTGCACCAACGCGCACACGACGCGCCAGCCTTTACTCCAATACCATTACCTAGGTACAGGCGTTCCGTTATTTTAGAATAATTTATACATAACACCAAACCACGTGCCCCGAAACTCACGAATACAAGCCGCCAACCCAGCTGCGCGTAAACTGATAAATATAGACTCGGGGGTAGTTCGACACCGGGCCAAGATTGAACCATATTTACGCGAACTCGCACTGTAATTTAGTATTATAGGACATTTTTTAAAGATAATCTCTAAGATATTCATCCCTGGCTGATTTCTATACACACCGCGGCAGCGCTGCTGAAGATGCGCGCCAACAACTATTGTAACTT